CCCTGACTTAATGAATTTTGTACTGATTCTAGGATAACACTGGATGCATTTGTGGAGTAAACAAGTTAAGTGCTTGACTGATGGTTCAAACACAGAGGCAGCACCACGGGAGAAAGGCCTAGCAATGTTCTACACAGTCTGGAAAATGCTCTGGGGCAGAGTCCCAGTCAGATCCTTGGATCTCTTTGAGCTGAGTGGAGATGACCTGAAGGTGAACTGGCCAAGTGGGGACTGTGAAAGCTCTGGGCCACCAAGCACTAGCCACAGGGCACAGCTTTGGGCACCCCATTGGAGGCATGCCTCCACCCTGGCACAAGTGGAGTGCTGGGAGCTGTCATACCCAATCTTTTCTCCAGCAAAGCTGCTGGGGAGAGGGTTTGAATCGCTGACCTTTGTGATGTGAGTAGTGGAGCACTTACCCACTGTACCACTGGGGATGTTATGCACTGGGTCAAGTCCTGTTTAAGAATACTGTGATCTTCTGCCTACAGAATCATGTCCTGGACCCTAAGTAATGTTAGTCCATCCTCCCAGCCCTGTCACCTACACCCTCCACAGTTCCTTCCAATTGAGATCCTAAATTATAAAGATTGGGCTGCTAACTTCAAGTTCAGCAGTTCAAATCTAACAGCCACTCGGAAAAAAAACAGGGTTCAGTCTCCTGTTAAAATGTGCAGCCTCAGAAAGCTCAGCAACACTCCAAACTAGAACCTTAAAGCATCTTTTTTGTTTGTAAGGACAGCTGACGGGGGTCCTCCTTTCAATAAGCTTGATGTTCTCAACCCAAAAGGTGAGAGAAAACAGTCTGTTTCCTCATCCTCCCCTAATGGCATGCAACGATCGCATCACACAGCAGTCCCGAAAAGGGAAAAGGCAACAGAAAGGGTCTGCTTGCGGCTTCAGCTTCCCTGAGAACCCCAACTTCCTGAGGAAATGCATTCACAGCCCCGAAACCCAGACCTTCTGCAAGAGAGAACTCACTAGAAATTGACGCGCTATTTTCACCCAAACATCAGACACAATGAAGGGAGCCATTGAAGAATTACAGCAGGAACGACTGGGGAGATTTAATGACACAAATGAGTGCATTTTGGAGAGCCGTGGGTTAGACATCGTCACCGGGCAAAGCTGAATATGCAGATGCCAATTCCTGCAAAGGTGTGCAGGCAGAGCCCCAACAGAGACAAGACAGAGGAGGACAGGAGCCAGAAAGGAAGAAGTGAGAAGGCAGGGCCAACACACAGTATCCCAGGAAAAGGACATAGGTGGCTTTCTGACCAGCTCAAGGAGCTGCTTGATGGCTCACGCAATTAAGCACCCTGCTGCCAACCAAAATGTGTGTAGTTCAGATCTACCAGGGGTGCCCCCAAAGGCCAGTCTGCACTTTCACTTGTAAAAACTTCAACCCTTGGAAACTCAATGGAGCGGGCTCCACTCTGATGCACGTGGGGTTAACATGAGAGGGAGTGCACTCCACCTCGGAAACAAACTGTTTTGTGGCTTCGTTCCAAGGCCTGGAGGAGCCCTGGTTGTCCAAGGGTTAAAATGCTGCTTGCCTGCAAACTGAAAAGTGTGGGGTTCAAACCCACCAGCCACTCAGCAAATGGGGCAACCTGCTTTCAAAAAGATTAGCCAGTCCACCAACCTGACTCCCAGGGAGTCCACAGGACAAAGACCTGCATCACAGTTTCCAAGGCTGTTTAGATCTGGGGGCCTAGTGTTAAGGAGTTCTTAAACCTGTCTCTACAGGAGGAGCTCTGATGGTACAGTGGGTTGAGTGCTAGGCTGCTAACTAAAAGGTCAGCTGTTCAAATCCACCCCCATCTCTGTGGAGAAAGATGGAGCAGTTTTCTGGCTTATGTAAAGATTGTTGCTGTGTACTGCTGCGTCTCAACTGACTGACAGCTGGAATCGCCAGTGGGTTTTCAGGGGCAGTGAGTTAACGGTGGGCGCAGATACCAATCCTTCTCCTGCAGAGTAGCCAATGGATACAAACTGAGCACCTTTAGGGACTGCAACGCAGCTTCTTACCCTAGGGGTAGCTCTCCTGTGACCTCTGGGGTGGCTGCGGGTTCTGGGGTAAAGCATCTGGTTGACACTTGCCTTTAACAAGCAAAGCAGCAGCCCTGGGAGGGCAGCTAACCCTGCCAGCCCCACTACATGAACCACGTCCATCACTCGGGGGAACGGCTTTGTGTGAATTCGGAATTAGAATGAAGCATCAAGCTCATTTCGAAGTTTAATAAATTTAATTTTAATGAGACATCTCGGTTTGCATTAAAATTCATGAGACTCTCGCAGCCGGCTCTCCGGACTGTTCATTAGAGAGTCCGGGATTTATTCGACAATTTAACTTCTTGACCACCTGAGTCGGGAAAATTCATGTCTACAAACTCGAGTGACGAATCCCACAAGCTTTCTGAAATTGAGTTATTTCAAATTTACCAGCTGCGGGTACTCTTCTTCTCTCCAATTAGGGACCTCTATGGGGATTTTTTTTAAAATTTTGGAATTCACTGGTTTATACCTATCTGTCCATAAAACCAAGTTTTCTGTGATATCTGTAAAACCAAGCCTGTTGCCATTGATTGCAACTCACAGGACCGTCTAGGGATGAGTAGAACTTCCCCAACACGTGTCCAAGGCTGCAGGGGAGTTCTGGAGGCAAAGCCAGTGGGGGGTTGTGCTGCTAAGTCAAACACCAGGCATCTCTGGTTCAGACCCGCTAGGCGTTTGTTCCAAAGCGTGGGCAGTGTCCTCCTATTGACATCAACAGCCTTGGAAACCGGAGAGCTCACTCGGAAGGAACACAGTGGCTCTGTAATGTGTATCCTTACAGGAGCTGAGAGTCACCTCCTTCTCCCTTGGAGAGCTGGAAGGATCTAACTGCTGGCCTTTCCTAGCAGCGCACCTCTTTAAGCGCTGTATTACGCCCCACTCACACAGTCAAGGTGCTTCCCAATCATAGCAACTCCTGTCTAGTTTCTGAGGTTGCCAATCATTCTGGAAGAAGCCTGCCCATCTTTCTTCCATGTTGTGGCTGATGGACTCAGAAGAGTGACCTTTTCATAAAAAAATGCAGGACGTGGTTAAGTCAGACTCAAGAGTCCTGTGTTCTCAGCTTTGCTGAGCAAAGGTGTGCTGTGTGACCTTGGGGAAGTAGCTTAACCTTCCTGAGCCAAATGCAGCTATTTCTTCTTGCTTTGTAATGCGCTATAAAACAATGGTGAGGTGTGAAAAAACCTCCAGGAGGTTCAGCAGTTTGCAGATCAAAGTGTGCATATTACATTTTATCAGTGAGTCTGAGTCAGAGCCTCTGGTGGTACAACACTTAAGCACTGAACTTCTAAAGGGAAAGTTGATGGCCTAAACTTACCCACAGAAAGAGAAGCAGGAGATCTGCTTCTGTAAAGATGAACTGTATTGCTATGCAGTTGATCCCACCTCACAGAACAGAACAGAACTGCCCTTAGGCTTCCAAGACTGTTAACTCTATTGGATCAAATCACCCAATCTTTCAATTTTTTTTTACCTCCACAGAATGGCACTGGGGGGGGGGGGGGGGGGGGGGGGGGGGGGGGGGAGTGGTGGTTGTTATGAGCTGTCCAGAGGCTGTAAATTGCCCAGGAGGAAACTGCCCAGTTTTCTTCTGCTGGATTCAAACCACGTGCCTCTGGCTTGGCAGAGCATCTCCTTACCACTAGGCCAGCAGAGATGTCAAAGGTTGGGCACTCATTCCTACAGATGAAGAGGCAGCTCCCCTCCTGCTAAGATTTACCATCTGAGAACCAGATGGATGGGGTGCTAGGAAGTAGAATCAACTAGGAGGCAGTGGAGGGCTGTTTGTCATTACCTTTCTCCCAGGGAGCTGGTGATGGGTGTGGTCAACAGGGCATGGAGCCAAGTGCTCAAACCCTCCACCACCAGGGTTCCTTAAAGGATTCTGCACCTGGGAAACCCTGCGGGACAGTTCAACCCTGTGCTGCAGGTTCAGTGTGAGTTCAAAGGCGATCTACAGGCACCTAGCTCTGGGTTTTCTCGGTGTGTGAGGCCTTGTGTTGGATGCACCTTGAGTGTTGAATCCGCTGCATTTAGAAAGAGCTGTTTCCCCTGGAGTGAAGTTGCATAGCTGACCCTCCAGCGGGGTTTCAGAGGCAGTTGATGGCACAGGAGGAGTGCCCACGCTTCTCCTGCTGAGCAGCTGGGGGATTCGAACTTCCAGCCTTGGAGCTGGCAGCGCAGCTCCTTACCACTAGGCGTGGGGAATTCTTTGCTTCCTGCCTTTAGATGGGGAAATGCACGGCCAGCAGATCTGAGTGGCTGGACGCCCCGTGGGTCGCCCAGGCCAGGACTGGGAGTGCGCTGGGTGCCTGTGTCCAGGCTGCAGACTGGTCCCGCAGGGTGGGGGGCGGGGTGCTGGGTGGGGGTGACCTCTCTCCACTTTTGCAGCGAATACTTTGCGAGCTGCGCTGAGCCCGCCCTGTCCAGTGCAGGATGTGCAGCAGCATCCCTGACCTCTCCCCTCTCGCCGCCGGCGCTGACACCCCCACAATGTCCCCGTCGCTGCCAGGCGTCCCCTGAGCCGCGATGCTGGGCCGCCGCCGCCGCCGCCGCCGAGGCCGCCACGGTCAACGTGCGTCCACCTCGCAGGTCAGCCTGTGGCAGCGCCGGCAGCGGGCGGTGCAGCGGGGTAAATTGAGGCTGCGCGGGGAGGGAGGGCGCGCACGAGCCCGGGGTCCCCCGGGGAAAGCACCCGGACGTGGGGCGGCCTCCCTCCCCGCGGGCGGCCGGTCACCGGAAGCGGGCTCGGCGCCACCGACACGCCGCCTGCGGGAGCCCGGCGCGCGGACATGGGCGCGCGGACCCCGCTTCCGGGACGGCCGGGGGGCGCGCGGGGCCACAGAGACCCCTCCCCGAGGGGGCCCGCCCCCCTCCCGGGCCCTTCTCGCGTCCGCGGCGAATCGCTGTAAGGGGTGGGGGGGGCGGCCGCAGCTACCCACCCAGAAGGAGACCGTCCATGTCAAAGAGCAGGTGGGTGACGGGCCGCGGCGGGGGCACCTGAGCCGCCATGGTGCTGCCTTCTTGGCCAGGTGGGGGCGGGGAAAGGCGCGCGCCCCCGCCTTCCGGCTCTGCGCCCGCGCGCCCCCTGCCGCACTGCTGCGCACGCGCAGCCCAAGCCTGTACCGCGCGCCCTTCTGCGCATGCGTGCCCCGAGCCGCATCCGCGCGTTCTGGCCCCGTCGCTCACTTCTACGCACGCGCAGCCTGACATGGCCGCGCGCACTCGCGCGTGCCACCGGCAATCTCTGCAGAAAGCAGGAAGTGATGCGGGTGGGCGCGTGCGTGCCAAAAGTGTCCTCGTTGACCCCATGTTCCCTTCATACTGCGGGTCAGACCAGGCCACGCACAGCCAAGTTCCGCGGCTGAACAGCTTGATTCATGGTCCCCCAATCCCGTGTGGCTTTGATCCGAAAGCGCCAGCCCTGGGGCCCTCGAAGCAGCGCCAGTGGGTCTCGCTCGCCCGTCTGGCTGCGGGCTTGGGCTCAGAAAGGCGCATGCGCAGTGCGGCGGTCGGGCGCCCTGGTACCCACAGCCCGCTGCATCAATGCCTGCATCCCTAGGCGCCTATCAGGACTGAAATCTAAGACAGGATGGATGCACAAATTAAACAAACAAACTAACGAAATCCCTGAAACTTTTGGCTTCTGGTGCCTGAGTTTGCTTTTTTTTTTTAAACCTTTCTGAACCGGAAGAACGTTGTGGCTTGCTTCGTTGTTTTGGGTTAGTGTGTGTTTTTGGGTTGGGTGGGTTTTTTTTTGTTTTTTTTTTAAATTGTTCTCAGAAATAGACCTTTATTACTGTTCCGTTTGTTCATGCTTCTGTAGAAATAGACCTTTGTTACTGTTCCCGTTTGTTCCTGCTTCTGTGTTTGCTTACATTGTAAATTTACATTTCTGTATAAGGATCTCAGAGGAGTGCCCTGGAGATGCCTAAGATTAAGTGCTTAGTGACAAGGTCGGCATTTAAAACACCCAGAGGCAGCAAGGAAGAAAGGCCTGGCGATTCTTGGTACAAAGGTTAACTATGAGGTGGACTTGATGGAAGGGCCATTAACAAGGTTTCCAAGACCAGAATAAAATAAGTTCACACAGGGTAACTCTTGAAGGTTGTCTTAGATATTAAATAGTACAAGCAGGTTACCTTATACCAAAATGCCTCCCTTCACAATATAAGAGGCTAAAAGTGTGACTTGAGGGTGCTTTTTTCCCCTGTTGGCGCTGGAGGAAGGACCTTGTGTCTTTGAGCTTCTGCTCCTGGATGATCTTCACGTGACATGGCATCTCTCTTCTCCATCCTGGCTATCTTCTCTGATCTGCCCTCCTGTCATCTGGTAGCACAATGACTCAGCACTCCTGAGTGTGAAGAGGTTAAAGTGTGGCTGCTTACGGGAGGTGAGCAGTCTACTCCCATTAACATTTGGGATCATTCTAATCTATCCTACAGGAACATATAGAGTTGGAATTCATTTATGGCACTAAATTTATGACAGTAAGTTTGGTTTTGTTTTTTATTTTTAAGATAATGGCCTCAAGATACAGGCTAAACTAATTCTGTTGAAACAGAACAAAGACCACGCGTACAGGTATGAAGCTAGGATCCAGAGCATGTATTTTGGGGGAACCTGATTCTATCCTTATCAGGTATATTTGTGGTTTAGTGTACAGATGATGGACAATATACAACCAGATTCAGCAAGGCCATGTATCAGTTATGATGTATGCGAGGTGAGGAATTCCAGTGAGTCAGTTGCTTATGTTAAATGTACTATTTGCTTACACCTTGCTCTTGAGATCTTGAGACTAAACCAACTTCCATAGCTAATATTCTGGCGGGTTTTCTGAGGTTGTTAACTGCACGAGAGGAGATTGTCCATCTGTCTCCATTGAAGAAAGGCTCAACCTTTGGGTTCACAAGACCACTCCCTGGTGCAGGCTATACCACGAGGGCTCTTGTGAATGTGTTCAATGGCCCAGTTCAATAAGAGGAGGCATCCAACGTCGTCAGCACCGCACCGGCTCAGAACACAGTGAAACTTGTGAGAGCAGGAACTCAAAGAGGAATACTATGTGTTTCCAGAAGCAGCTGGTGGATTTGAACCATCAACCTTTGGGGTGGCAGTGCAAATCTTTAGCCATTACTTAGGCCATCAGCGCTCCTGACAGACATATTGCAGTTTCCAGGGCTTATTGTTAAAATGGCTTTCCTAGATAATGGCTTTTAATTTCACCATGTTGTTCTTGTTATTATGTACTGTCGAGTTGCCTGTTAACTCATAGCGATCCTATGCACAACAGCTGTAAACCCTGCTCTATTCTGTGCCAGTCTTACTGTCTCTGACACACCTATCCTCATTACCCCAGTGACTGAACTGGTCCATTTCATCCAAGGTCTTTTCTGTGCTGTCCCTCCAACCTCCCAAGCATGATGTCCCTCTCCAAGGGCAAGTCCATCCCTCCTTGCAACATGTACAAAATATGTCAGACGAAGCTTCAGAATCCTTGTCTCCAAGGAGCAGCCCAGCTTCACCCTCTCCAGGACACACTTGTTTGTTCTCTTAGAAGTCCATGGTCTATTCAGTACTCTTCTCCAGCACCATATCATATGAGTGAGAATATAAGAGTGTGCATAAAGTAAAGGGGCTGTGCATAAAGTAAAGGGGCCTCCAGTGGCCTAGTGGTAGGGAGCTGTCCTGCCAACATGAAGGCACATGGTTTGAATCCACTAGCTACTCCGAGGGAGAAAGATAAGCCATCTCCTCCTGTGAGATTTCCTACTTCTGACAACCCACCGGAGGGTATGTTCTGAGTGGGTTCCAACTGGATAGCACCTAATGATGTAAAGTGATCATGACAGGATTGTTCTGTTTCTCCTGTTTTACCAAGTTGAATTGAGCGGATGTAGCAAGGAAGGTGGGGATGTCGGTACCAGCAAGGAAGAAGCTGAGGGGAATCCAGCAGGTATGCTCAGGGCCTGAGATCTCTATACCTGTCAGACCTGGATGTGCATGAGAACAGGAGCAGAAGCTGCTTCTGCAGAGAACCAGAGGCCAAGAGGAGGCAGAGCTGTCCTGGGACTGCTGCCCCACTGAGCCAGAGCCGGGTGCCCTTCCCCAAGCTTGCTGGAGGACTAGGGGAAGACACCAGGGCTGCAAAGATGAAGGGAGCTTTGTAGGATTGACATAAGCTGTGAGGCTGAGGGTCAGAGGGCCTGCAAACACATTTGGGAAGCTCTCTGGACAGAAGAATCCTATCTTGCTGCCAACCCGAACTATGGTTTTGTCCGATTGGGACTGGAATCCGTGGAAGTAGGTGCAGGAATGTGGTAGACCATGTCTGAATGGATAGGAATAGGTTCTGTACTATGCATGTTATTGAGGGGAACGTTCCCCTTTAGGGAGTTAATAGGCTCAACTCAGCCTTCCCTGTGTGGCCTGTACTGTTTGCACACATATGAAGTATACAGCGGAGCTCTGGTGGCCCAGTGGTAAGAAGCCATGATGAAATCCTGAAGGCACGCTGTTCAGATCCACCAGCTGCTCTGGGGAGAAGACTGGGCAGTCTCCTCCTGTGTGATTAACTGCCTCTGGGAGGGTCAGCTTTGGGTCATTTCTGACTCAATGGTAGTCAACAACAACAGAGTATATATACCATGTCTCTTGTTTTCCTGAAATATGTTACATAGCGTTGCATGCTGCTTCACCTCCTGTCATTTCCATAAACACGCTAGACCAATATTTGTTACGTGTGGTGGTTGTGTACCACCAGCTCGGAGCCGATCCACAGCTGACCCTCCAGCGTGTTTTCAGAGGCAGTGAATCGCTCAAGAGGAGAGAGACCATCTTCCTTCCATGGGGCAGCTGGTGGGGTTGAACTGCGTACCTTTGAGTTGGCATCGCAAAATCTACGGCCCCTGAAACCCTGCTGGATGTTCAGCTGTGAGTCAGTAGTGATCTGATGGTACACAACAACAAAAAACTGTCAGATCGTTCCTCATACATTGTGTTGTCGCTATTGTTGCTATACATAGAATGGGATAAGCTTAACTTTCACAGAGCTCTGGTGGCCTACTGGCAAGTAGCTGTGCTGCAATCCTGAAGGCATGTGGTTCAAGGCCCTTCTGCTCCGCGGGAGAGGGATGGGCAGTCTCCTCACATGTGATTAACTGCCTCTAAAAGCCCACCAGAGGGTCAGCTATGGGTCAGTTCTGACTCTAAGGTACACAACAACAACAAGGATAACTTCCATATGTACTGAGAAACAAATTGTTCATTGACAAAGTAACCCACTTTTCCCCAATACTCACTTTCTTCTGGTAGTCCGGAAACTAACATGAAATATCTCCAAATGCAGGTTATCAACTAAAGAACACACACACACACACCCTGATAGGAAAAAAACTGCATAGGTCAATCAGAAGTGAGGTTGCTGTGAGTAAGGGTTTTGCAGTTGAGAGGTGAATTCTGGATTGGTATCAGCCAGCCTGTAAAGGTCACCTCCTTAATACCACCCCTGAGTGTTTTCTGCTTTGTCACCTGTGCTTCCTGGTTGCCTCAGAACTGTTGTGGTGAGATACCATCATTCTCCAATCTTATCCACACGCACAACACAACAAGCCCTGCCCAATCCTGGCCCAGGCAGTGCGTCAAGCCAGCTCATTGAAGGTCTTCCTGGCCTTCGCGGATGCTCTCTTTACTTGTCCAAACAGGACGCCCTTCTTCAAGGACAGATGCTTCCTGGTAACATGTCCATTTTGGTAACTTGGAGTGCTATGCTGGTCTCATACAACTTGTCCCTTCTGGATGCCCCAGGACCCCACAACCTGACAACAGTGGTGTCCCTATCTGCCCCCTACAGATGGAGAAGCCACAGGCTACCATGATGCTGTGAAGCTCCTGCAGGGAGGGTCTGCTGGTGGGGTGTGCTTGGCATTTTTCAAAAGGGCCAGGACACCAGTGGTGCAAGGCCCGTGTTCACGCCATGTCTCTGTGACCATCTCTCAGTTGAGTCCTTC